ATCTTGTGTTAAGAAACATGGATGGTGCTGGAAGGGATCATGCTCAGCGAAATAAGCCAGAAAGAAAAAGAAAAATACCGGATGGTCTCACTCATAGCAGGAATCTAGAAAACTTAAACAAGAGACCAGGAAAAAGAATAACTATAAGAAAGTAAAAATCAAAATCAACAAACAACTATGAACCAGAGACACACTATAGGGGGTGGGGATTGGGGAAACCAGAGACACACTATAGGGGTCAAAATAAGGGGGTTGCAATTATATGGGGAATATAAAAATAAAATTTAAATTTAAAAAAATAAATAAATATTCAATGCTTTTCTGGGAAAAAAAAAAGAAATTTGTCGAAGATCACCCAATGAGTAAGAGTTGGAGCCAAGATTTGAACACTGTTTCTCTGATTTCAAAATCTGTGCTTTTTGTAATATCTTTTCAGTATCCACAGTATGCTTGTCAGTTTTGGATAGCTTAAAGATCTGAATACTATGGAAAAGAAGGCTTCCCAGTGTCCTTTTAAATTTGATGTTGTATGCTATGGAGTGTGGTGTCAGCAATGGTGATTTGCAATGGCAATGTCCCTGAAACCTCCTTAGTGACTGACACCAATTGACCCCAGGGCTTTCTGAATTGGCAGGTAGTTGATTTCAAATTTCAGGGACTTGCAGTCAGTTAGAAGTTCATGGCTGGTGCAGGATACCTGCTCAGAGAACTCAAACAAGATGTGTATCATTCTGGCATATGAGATGGAGAGGGGACACTGTGAGTAGCTCCTTAAGAATTCCTAAACATTACGAACTTAAAAAAAAAAGAATAAAGTATAAATAAACAAAAAGAAATACAATGAAGTGAAATTACTACAACTTTAAAATAAGAAAAGAAATAAGATTGAAAGTAGTCCTTGAATATATATATAAACGGTTTTAAAAATTTTATATCACATTTTAACTCAGTGATTGATAAAGTCTAGAATGAATATATAATGTTTTGGGGAATTCCATTCCATTTTACTTTTATTTATTTTAAACAAATTATAAAATTGAACAACATACATAAAGTACATATTAACTTCAATTGTAGAAAAATTCATCAAATGCTACCATTTATAATATGATTTATATTATGTATAAATAATATTAGGCACATGGTATTAAGCACGTGGTAAATTTTTTTGCAATGTTTGGATTTTTTGGGGTCAGCATTGTATACAAACTATACAACAGCTTAATATAGTTAAATACACAAGTAGGTAAATTGATAAGCACAGATGTGAGTCAAACTGAATGGTGATCAGAAGAACAAATGTTGAGTGTAAACTTGGCAGAAATGTCATGTTCTGTCTTTTCTTTTGGGTTAATATATAGGAGTGGACAGGCTGAATCACATGGGTTTATATTTAACTTTTAAAGAACTGAAAATTGTTTTCTGAAGTAACTGTGTCATTTTACATAGCCCTCAGGGATGCAAGAGTTCCAGTTCCTCCAGATCCTTGTTAACATTTGGAATGTTGGTCATTCCAATAGGTGTCTATTGGTACCTAACTGTGGTTTTTATTTACAGTTACTAATAATTAAAAATGCTGAGCAACTTTTCCTAAGTTTATTTCCTAATTTTATATTTTCTGTGTTGAAGATCTTGTTAAAAGATATTGCCTACGGTTCTTATTGGGATGTCTGTTTTCTTATTACTGAGTTTTAAGAGTTCTTTATATACTTAAGGTACAATTATTTAACTGATAGATGACTTGCCAATATTTTCTTCCAGTCAGTGTCTTGTGTTTTCATTTTCTTAATTGGGTAATGTATTTTATGTATTTTTTTTAAACCAAAGTCATATTAATTTACAATGCTGTGTAATTTTTAGGATGACCAGGGTATTCTAAATATGTGGATACAAGTTTCCATGAAAACTTTATTTGTAATAGAAACACTCTTTTCTGTCTGAATACAATCTAAGTATACATCCGTGTGTGAGAGGATGAAGAAACTGTGGGACCCTGACACTGGATTACCGTTTAGCTACAGAAGGAATGAAGGGTTGACATGTGTAACAAGGATTTGAAGGATTCTCAAAATAATTTTATACTGAGTGAAAACAATCAGGAAAAAATGCATACTTTATGATTTCATTTATATAAAATATTAGAAAATGCAAACTGATTTAAAGTGAGAGAAGAAAGATAAGCAATTGCCTGTAAATAGCAGCATGGGAGTTGGGAAGGCTAACACTACGGCACAAGGACATTTTAGAGGTGATATATTCATTATCGTACTTGTAGTGATGGTTTCATGAGATTATACATACAAGCAAACTTGACAAATTGCACATTTTAAATGTTTAGTTTATTATATGTCAGTTATACTTCAACAATGTTTTAAGAATTCAACAGAAAGTTTGCATTATACTCGATTTTTGCCCTTAGTTGAATTACCAAAAAGAAAAAGAATGGGGAAAAAAAAAGTCATAGATGCATAGCATTCCATGAAAAGTTACACCGTATCTCATTTTTATTGTTATAAAACCATTTGACTCTTTCCAGGGCAAAACATTGCCAGTGTAAAAAGATGAAATTTTTATCCCTCTCTCTTAAAAAGAAGATGAACCGTTCTGGAAGGTTCAATTTGAACAATGATATATCATACAATTTTCAATATTTATACTGACCGTAAGAAGAACATATTATGAAAACATTAGTTTTCATACAAAACACAATAAATTCTGTCTTTGGCAAGGCATGTAATTAAAGGCTTACAAAAATATCACCACCAGGCATTAAATTCATTTATCAAGTCATGCAATAAGAAACATTTAATTTGTTTTTTCAGTTGGATGATTTTTATAAAATGGAACGATGCTAACAAAGTAAAAGGGACAGTACAAGGTAAAGCAGATCAGCAAGATAGTTTAGGGAAACGTTATTAATTTCACTTAGTGCTATTGGTGCATGTTCTGATTTTCCTCTTTTACAGTCCTTAAAATTGAAGCACAGTTCTGAAAACTTAGCTAAGCAAAGTAGAATTCCAGTGGAAGTAGGGAGTCAAGAGCCACTGGCTCTGCTGGGAGTTAGCAACAGTTCACAGCCCACCACTCAGCAATGTCTGGGATGTTTCCCCCAATCGCAACTTCCCATAGGTCCTTCTTTTAGATGTTGCAGAATAAGCACAATGTTTACTGTCCTGGCTGCATCATTAGCTCTTTGTTTATAACTTTCCCCTGGCCCCCCGCAGCAAATCATCTTTTCAGTTTATTTGAATTCCCCAGTCATGTCCTGTTAACTGAAATAGATATTGTCATCTTGCATTACTACCTAATCTCACTCAATCTTTCTTGCCACCCTCCTCAATCTATTGCTGTAATTCATTAGCTGCTTCAAAACAGTTTAGAATATTTAAAATATGATTAAGATAGCTGCTATTACTGAGGACAGAGAGACAGAAATTCTGTAGGTTCTGCTTCTTCCATTCAAAAGTTGTTAATATATGTTTACCCCAGGATTTAGATTTTTTCTTTTATTTATTTTCTTACATCTTTGTTAATTTTTTGTATAGTATTTAATTTCTCCCCTCAGGTGTAGCTCCCATTGTTAGGGGGAAGTGATGGTTGCTCTACAACACCATGAGTCTCCTTGGTTTCCTGTTCGGATAACTGTAGCCATCTTATTATCAGATGATTGTAATTTGTAAATTTTCCTTAACTCTCCCCCTTAAAAGAGAATGTTGGGGAATTTTTGTGTTCTCAAAACATTTAATGACAGTGTAAATTGCTTCTTAATTTAAGACATATGTCACTAAATAAAGGAGACATATTCATTTGGACTAAGAGAACAAAGATAAAACTATCTAGTTTTAATAACTTTATAGAAGATTTTTTTAAGATTTATTTATTTATTCATACAAGAGCTGGGGTACAGGTAAGATGCACAGGAGGGTAAGAGAATTCACCAGAGACAGAGCAGGGAACAGAACAGGCAGACTGATGAAATACACTGCTGAGGGGAGCAGCGGACGAGGCAGGAGAGGTTTCCCGCCCCATGTGGGACCCTTGCCGGCTGGCCAGGATCGAACCAGCGCTGCAGAGGCTGCAGACAGCTTCACAGCGCTGCGCTCAACCACCCAAGCCACCAGTGGAGGCACTATAGAAGTTTTAGATTTACAGAAAAAAATGTGAAGATTTCCCTTATTATTAATATTTTATATTACTTTGATACATTTGTCACAACTAATGAACTAATATTGACATATTACAAACTAAACTTGAGACTTTCTTTGCATCATTAACTTTGACATAATGTCTTTTTTCTGCACCAGGATGCCATCCAGGGCACCACACTGCATTTTCATTCATCCTGTCCCCCTGTGCTCCTTTTAACTGTGACAGTTTCTTAACTGTGACAGAATATTCTTACCTGATATTCTTCCTTTTAATGATCAGAGAACTTTGAGAAGTATTAGTCAGGTACTTCATAAAATGTCCCTCAATTTGGGACTACTAGCCCATAAACTTGTGGTTAGATTGGGATTGCTTGCTTTTGGTAGGACAACCACACATGCAAAATGCCATTCCATCCTGTCATGTCAAGGGTGCATGCTCTCCACATGATTTATCACTCATGCTGTTAACATTTATTATTTTGCTTGTCACATATTTCCATTACAAAGTTATCCCTCTCTCTCCTCATTCCGTAAGCATGATCTGCCACACAGCACTTTTTGGAAAGAAGATGCCTAGTACAGCCCATGATCAAAGGGGTAGGTTAAATAATTTGGAATTCTTCCCTACAGATTTGTCTTTCTCCCCCATTTAGTCATTTACTTATTCATTTATTTATTCAGTATGAGCTTACATATATTGGCTTATATATGACACATATATGTGACTTATATACACACACATACATATATTATCTATATGCCATTTCTCACACTCACTGCACATTCAAATTGCCTGAACTCCTCCCATGTAGGTGTCCCATAATGTATAAATTCCTGAAAAATTCCACTTACCTTGCAACCAATCTCATCTTTGTTCAAGTTATATTCCATTGTCCTGAAGTCTTGATTTCAGTGTAAAGTTTATTGACCTTTTTTCCTCTATGCTCCATGATTTGCATGTGTCTGTCTGTGTGTAGTTTTATTTTCTTCATTCTTCTCTATCCACAAAATTGGCAGTCTCCAATTAAAAAAATATTTTACAGTGTTGGTTTAGTGAACCTGGAAATTCATTTTTGTCTCTACTATGAGGTAATACTTTAATTTTATTATTTTCTATGTGAGTAGTCAATTGTCTCACATAATTTATGGGTTTCTCTGTTCTGATTAAAATTTGATTTGATTTGATTTTGTATAAACACTTGATTTATGAAATTAAAGAATGGTGGAATAAATTCCACTTAAAGATAGACTAATGAAGTTGAGTTATAGCAACTTATATCGAGGTTATTTTAAATAGCTGTGTCATTCAGGTGTGTAGATTTGGAAATACTTTTTACAATGAAATGATTGTTATTGATAATATTCACATTTAAAATTATCATTGACCAATGGTTTAGACATTTAATGTAGACATATAGACTGAAAATAAAAGGAAATTAAGATTTGAAGAACTTTAATGAATTAATGCATTATAGGAGATAATTAAGATTTCCAAGTTTCTACTTCTAACTATATTACTTATCTTGTACTGGGTTTGATACACATTTTAGACTCAAACTCCTATCTCCTAGTAGGCAGAACTCCCAATTGAGCTGATCTTTTCTTTCATAAATGGTGACGAAAAGTTAATAAAGTATTGAGAACACTTACTCCATTTTAGAATGGAAACCTACCTAAAACATTCTTGAGGGCCAGCCCAGACAGCTTTTTGCCATGCCAATTAATGTATTTGTTAGAACACATACCTACCAACTCTAAAGAAAATATCTGGAGGATCCAGAGGAAAAAATAAATTAAAGATAAGTAGCAGAAGAATGATTACAGAGAAAAATTAATGGAACTAATGGAGAAAAGAAAATTGGGGTGGGGGGGGGTCAGAAAGCTAGAATTGTCCAGACAGAAAGGAAGGAACTGCATAAAATATGGACTCTAGACATCTATGTAGGGGGCACCTCAGGTCTTTGACTGAGTCTTATCTATGCCACGTACCAGAGGAAATTACTCAGGATTGGAAAAACCCTGGAAATCAGTAATCCAAATAGATCTGGAAATAGTTTGTGTTCCCTCAAACAAGAGAAGAACGACATCATAATACCTGGAGCATTGGGTTGAACCTTCACCAGAACACTGTCTTGGTGATAGAATTAAGTGAAACTAAGCCTAAAAACTGTTCTGGGTTCCCTGGAACAACACTTAAAAGCAAGTCACAAAAGGGTAAGACTGGTTACAAGTAACTTAATTACTTCCATTTTAATAGACTACAAAATAAAAGAGAGAAAAATACAGCAAGGAACAAAGAGAAATTAGCATTGCTTACCATCAAAATATAAATTACTAGAAATCAAAAACAACCAATAGAAAGAGGTCTTGAAATGGAAAGCTTTTTGTTTTAATTGATAGATTTTTCACCTTGTGAGAACACTATACAATGTCACTTCTTTTTACTCTTATTTATAGAATTCTCGTGTGTTGCTGGTGGAAATGAAAAATAAAAGTTTTGCAACTTTAGGAAATGTTTGGAGGTTCTTTATAAAGTTGCACATATTCATACCATATAATCTTGCAATCTTTAACCAGATTATTTTATGTATTTATCCAAGAGAGTGTAAAACATATGTCTACACATATATTTGTAAATATATTTACAAATTTATTTGTAAATAAATTTATACTAGTCAAATCATTGATAGTATCCAAGTGTCCATCAACATGTGAATAGGTAAACAAATTGTGATACATCTGTATAACAGATTACTCACTGATAAAAAGGAACAAACTAGTGATAAACATAACATAAATAAGTCTCAGAATCATTACACTACAAGCAAAAGAAACCCAATACAGACATTTAGAAAATATTATTAGAAAAGATCTTAGTAACTGAAAGCAAATCTGAGTTTGCCAGGGGCTGGGGTTGGGGGAAGGAGATTAAGTACAAAGCGGCACAAAGAATGTGCACACGTTGGTTGCATACGGTTTTCTAAATTCATAGAATTATACACTTAAACTGGTGAATTCCATTGTCTATAAATTTTATCTTAATAAAACGAGTAAAATAAGTGGAATGGGCTTTAAGGTAAAGCACATTACTAAGACTTCAGACAGCTTGACTAAATTTTAAGTTCACTCTTCTCAAAAGAGACACCATTTAGTAGTAAAAATCAATCGCAAATAACTGCATGTGTTAACTAAGGCTTCTTGAATTAATATCAAACATGGAAAAGTCAGCTCACATTTGAAAAAGCCTTGAAATAGTGGCAAGTAAGCTGACATGCAGTATTTGGCAGTACATCAGTGTCTTAGGAAAACTAAGATTTTTGCAAAATCTGAAGTAGGTTAAAAATTACATATGGTTTTGAATCTATTACTGGAATGTTTAGGTTTTTCCCTCCTTTGATTTATGTAGTACTGGACACATAATGACAGTAAAAAATCAAAAACAAAATTGCACAAAATCAATGATAGGATTCACGGGCCTTGAAGAGTTGGCATACTCCCTATGGAAAAAGACAGTCATCATTCTCATTTTAAAACACAAGGGTGGGCAATTCCTCCCCATTCTGGGACAACCAAACTATTTGCTCAGAGGGTTTTCTTAAAAATTGTTTATTGCTTTTACACAGCAACTGATGCAGTTAGGAAAATATGTAACTTCCAGCATTATTATTCTTTATGCTGATTGCATCCATGTTAATAGGAAAAGCTTGCATCAGTGACTTTACCCATTATCAAATATCAACTCCATCATTTGAGATATACTCATTCATTCACTCATTTTTTCCCTTTAATTATTCACTAACGATCTACTGAGCAAATACAACAGGTCCACGAATGACTTGGTTTTATTCAACATCATTTCATTATAGCATTGATGAGAAAATCAACCCCAGTCAATATCAAACTAAATGACATTATTGGAAGATCTGCCTCTGTTATATGTCTTTTTGTTTAATGTTGCAGTTTCCTATAACCTATTGATGATGTTAAGTGAGTTTCTATAATATTCTGACTAAAATGATAAAAGCATCTCAATCTTACATCAGGTTTTCTTTTAACATGAGATTGTGGAAGAGAGAAGGTCTCAGAGTATATCTTTCACTGTTCTGAGAGGATTAGATTTGAGAAGCCAAAACCTCACAACCTGTGAAAATAATTTTAATACCTTATGGAACATTTGAGCCTTTAATAATAAAATTTTTAAAAGATCTCTGATGTTTATTGAGGATTCCTTTTATTTATCATTGAAAGCTGGAATTACTTAATGCAAGTCTTGATTTTTTTTTAAAGGAAAGCTCCCAAAGGTCATGGTAGTTCTGAGAAACCAAGTCCTGAAATGTTCTTGGGCTTCTGGACTATTGAAGCTGGACTAAGTTATGTTTATTAAATCCATCACTATAATTCTGACAATTAGTTCCTCACACCTTGACTTTAGAAATCTGGGAATCATTGACATGTCAAGCCTTCAAAGATCATGAGGTGAAATTTTCACAAAGCAACAAGCCTAATTACTGGTATTACTTTTTGAAATGTTTCCACTACCAATCCTCCTGAGATTCCTTCATGACAAATGCATTCAAAATGCCATCTATCATCTGGACCCCTACTTTCAAGTTCTCAGGCAAATGTTTTTGTAAACAATTGGCCCTTAAAGTATCCTTGGAGCCAGGAAGCTCATGTTTCATTGGACTAAGAGAAGAAACACATTCCAGAGTTGAAGATCTTCTGAGGACAAAGCTGTGAGTCAAGGTTCATCACATTATACAATTAATCAGCTTGATTCAAATGATGTCAAAAATTCAAGGTCAAAAAGAAGCATTAAATCTCACCTCCAAAAACTCACTTTCACACATTTCAGATGTCTAGTGAAATTGTTCTTCTAATTTTTGAAATTGGTACCTGATTATTAATGGAAAAAATGTGAGGATCAACTGTAAGTCAAGAGTTTAGTGTTGTAATCCACAAAGGGCAGAATGCATCTAGCACATGCCACACTGCTGCAAGGTTTAGGGTGGGGTGAGTTGGTCCTGGGTCCTTGACTGAGATCAGGAAAGAATTCAATGTCACATTATAGCAAAAGAAAAGCAGTTTATTAGAGATAGTGAAACAACACTGGAGTGCAAAGGGACAGGGGATGAGGGAGGGGAACCCACTGGGCAGAGTCTACTGGAGAACAACTGCAAGGAATGATTGGGAATTCCTGGCTTAAATGGGGTGCAGAATCCTGTTCATCATTTTCTGGGGTTTGCTGCGCAGGTGCTCCCTGGGTGTTGTCTATCTTCCCCCATCTAGGCCCTTCTTGCTCTCTACTGGCTTTATCAGCTTACCTGTAGGTTGGGGTGGGGGAGTCTGTCTTCTCACTCTGGGCATTTCTTGGCTCTCCCTGGGAAGTATGTTCTGGATATAGTTGGCTGTTATTTTCCTTAAAATACTCCCCCCCACACACTTTAATTGCCTAACAGAACAATCTGCATAATTATGCTGTAAGACATTGTACTTAATCATAAATAGTAATCAACAGTGCAATTTGTGACATCAGACAGCTGATTTGAGTATTTTCAAGGGTCACTTGGAAAGATGATTGGTAAACTTGGCTAAAAAGGAAACTGTTCAAGACGTTATAACAAAATCCACATCCACCTATAGTGCAAGTTACAAATATGTTACTTGAGTATAACTCCAGTAGGGATGTCAGATAAAATACAGGATACCAGTTAAATTTGAATTTTATATAAATAAGGAATATTTATATACCCATTTTTTCAGATAAACAAAAATAATTGTACTCCTATATTTTTATTTCCTAAACCTTGCCATACACAAGGGACAAATCTGAATTTTTAATTGGAATCCCAAGTGATTCTTATTATCTGGAAGGTTGGAGAATAATTGCTGGAGGTGTATGCTGGTTTTTTACTTTCCCAGCAAAAAATATCTAAAGCACAGGATTCTAAAGGCTTCTAACAGTGAGATATGCCAAAACCTCCAGACTTTGGAAGTTTCAAACCATTTTAAACTGAATATGAGGGAAAATCTCACCGTTTGGCATAGATTTATCTTCTTTTATTGAGGAATAAGGTCAGACAATAAAGACATGATTTTAGATAGAAGAGAAAAGCAGTAAAGAAGCAGTCCTTGTGTATGGACAGGTGGTAAGAAGTTACCTGTCACTTAAAATTCTCTTTTTCTTCTACTCTTTTCCAGAGTAGTCTTATATAGAAAATTACCTGGATTATGTGAATCAATTGCAACTATAGTCTATCTCTAAAAAAAGTTCCCTTCCAGAGTTCCTGGGAATGTTATGTGGTAAAAGTTAGCAGGATTCATTTGAAATTTTAAAACCTTAAAATTTACTATGGAACATTTCAAATATATGGCGACATAAATGGAATAATATCAAATACTCAAATATGTGACATGTATTATATTCTGTTTATCAATAAGGAGTAGATCTGGAATCTCAAAATCTGGTTTCAAATTTGCTTTCTGGCTATGCAATCTTAAAAAGGCATTTAGGTACAGTAGACTATATTAAAACTTTAAAATCTTTGAAAAATCTTTGAAAAATCTTTGAAAAACTTTGAAAAATCTTTGAAAACAGTGTAACATTCAGGAGTTACTTAACCTGTATGGACCGTGGTATCTTTTGCAGAATGTAAGTGTTGTTTGGTCTTAGGGTTAAATTAAGTAGGGTATAATAGATGGCTGAAAAAATGTCTGCAACCTAGTAGGCATTCAATGAACAGGGTTTTTATTAATTCATAAGTCTGCCAAAACAAAACTTTGTTTTTAACAAAGGTTAAAACAACAAACATTTTTGTTTCACGGTTTTGAAAGTGAACAAGTCCAAGGGTGACAGGAAAACCACACTTTTTTAGAAAGCTTGAGGGATAAATCCTTCTTCGTCTCGTCCTGGTTTCTGGTGGTTTCCCACAATTCTTGGCATTCCTTGGTTGTAGTTGCATCATCCCAATTTCTACTTCATTCTTCACTGACTGTCTTCCCTGTGTGTGGCTCTGAGCATCTCCACATCTTTTTCTCCTTATATGGACACTAACTAGTGCTAGGACTCAACTTAATCCAGTGTGACTTCATTTAAACCTGATTACACATGTGAAGACCTATTTCCAAATAAGGTCTCACTGGTACTCAGGGTTAGACTTCAATATATCTTTTTGGGGGACTGGTTCAACTGATTATATGTATCTTATTATAAT